ACAACAGCAGAAAAAAAAAAAGAATAAAGATCAAATCTGAAGATGCTGCGGAGAGGAGATGAGGTCTAGCAAAAATGTCAAGGGCTGGACCGCCCTCGCCAAGCCAAATGTTCTCAGTGAAAGCTTGGATCCAACAACCTTCCGAGCGCAGGGCGAAGTTATTTACCAAGGGAGTGGAATAACAGGGCTTACGGCTTTATAATTTTATACGCTTGTTTTGGTTCCCCCTGCAACCATCTGGGGGGATTTGGCTCGGGGAAAGATGAAGTTATTGAAAAGTAAAGAGGGAAAAAAATAAAACAAACCGTGGAAGTTCTTGGTTGGGAGCTGCAGATTGAGGGTTGAACGCGATCGAGCCACCCAGCCCGGCCACGTCTGTCCCCCCAGGCCCCGGGACGCGCCCGGCGCTATCGCACAGTGGCATTTAATCAGCTTTCATTATATATAGCACGAAATCAGATGCCAGGAATAACTGTAGATAAGGTGGTGGCACGATCCCAATTTCCTTCCCCTCACCTCCTCCAAAAGTCTTCATGGGGCCCTCCAGCCCCCCCCAGCCACATCCAAGCCTCCTTTTCTGGTGGGGAAACTGAGGCACGGCCGCGATGCGACCAATGTTCAGCTCCAGGGGGGTTTGCTGCCTTCCCAGTATGGAGAAAAGAGGGGGAAAATAACAAAAAAACACCCTATTTTTTCCTCCTCTGGCTGCTGCAGGGGGAGAAGGGCAGCGAGACGCCGCAGCGCCCGTCTTTCTCCCACGCTGTCTGGGGAGAGGAGGGGAGGAGAGGGGCAGCCGTTCTGCAGGGATTAGGGGGCTGGGCTTGGGGCCACGTCCTAAAAACCTCTGGGTTATGATATTAAGCTTCGTGCTTTTTCGACTGTAGCTTTTGCTGGGAATCGGAGAGACTCAGAGCACGAGACGGGGCCTGAAAAGCCTAAGTCAAATAAACCCAAACGCAGCGCGGAGAGGGTTTCCCACTCCCCCTCTCCGTTCTTTTCTTTTCCTGGAAGACGCGCTCGTTCCCAGCCCTCCCTGGGAATGCTGTTGCTTTGGCATCAGGGATCTTGGCCCCGTGTCAGCCGGGCAGCCCCGCGTTTGGGGGATGCCCGAGCCCGAAGCCGAACCCCGCAGCGCCCAGGCACCAGCTGAAGCCCAGCTTTCCCCTCCGCTCCCCTTGATGGTTGGACTTGGTGGTCTCAGAGGTCTTCTCCAACCTACGATTCCACGATTTAAAGCAAAACTGAGGTTTCTGGCTCCCACCACCCTCCCTGTGCCTCTCCCAGCTGCGGGGCTCGCACGCATCTCGCTCGGAGTCGCCGGAAAACTTCTTTGCGGCGGCGGCAGCGAAGCCGGCAAAGCTCGGAAGCGAAAAATAAGAACAATAAAAATTGAGCTTTGCGTGGGGAAGCGTCAGGGGCAGCTTCTCGGTGGGGCTGGGGAAGGATTGAGGGTTGGAGGAGAGGGACGGCGGGAGG